TGTTTCTCTACTTATTTAATTTAATCCTTTTTTATGGCAAATTTAACCGCTGTAACACCTTTGTATCAAACAAGTCTTAACAAACAAAAAGATATCTAAAATACATCTAATATGCATCTAAAAACTGGTCTAAAAGACGTCTAAATTCACGTCGTGAACGGGACATAAATAGATGTCTATCTTATAGATGTCTTTTAGATGCAATTTATTCGACACAAATAAATGCCTTAGATGCATAAAAGATGTAAAATATACATTTAAAGATGTATATTAGATGTATATTAGATGCATAAAAGAGCTATTATTAGCTAAAAAATTATCTGTTATCTATCTTTTTTAAACGCGCCTTAGACATCTATTTAAGAGACGTATTTTATACATCTAATATGCATCTGTAAGATGTATATTTCACATCTATTATGCATCTAAGGCAATTATTTGTGTCGAATAAAATGCATCTAAAAGACGTCTATAAGATAGACGTCTATTTATGTCCCGTTCTAGACCTGAATTTAGACGTCTTTTAGACCAGTTTTTAGATGCATATAAGATGCATTTTAGATATCTTTTTGTTTGCTGGGACAAAAATTATACTAACCATTTGTCATTAACACACGATTTGCCTTTGATTTTTTCTTCCATTCTAGCATCGTTAGTTTCATGGAAGGTACCAGAAAAACTTTTGAAATTCTTTTTGAGTGAAAGGTTGAAGCAAAGTATGAGAAGAGCTCATGCTGCCGAAAGAGATTAAACTGTATATTCTTTATCTTTTATATTTAGTTTTTTAGTTGGTATATTTATATTGTTAATGGTAAAAAAGCTTGGAAGAAATTGAAATATAATTTAGGATTTTCTTAAAAAAATGCAAGTAAAATATAATAAAAAGGATCATATTTTAGTTGAAGTCAATCGAAGTTTAAAGAGTTTATATATGTTGATTGGTAAAAAGTCACCAATCATTGATCAAAAATTAAAAAAAAAGTAGTTTACATGATTGAAATCTTAGTATAAAATCCGTAGCAGGCTTTATACGAAATTTAAATCTTTCAAAAATACGTAGACTTCACGAAAAATAAATCTTTCGTGAAGTCTACGTATTTTTGGTTTACAATTTGATCGCGTTATACACGTGTATGTTTTAGATTTAATTTCCGTATTGAAACCTCATAAGACTCGTATTTATAACCTCATAAAACCCGTGTTTATAAAATAAAATAAACTCGTGTTTGAAACCTCAGAAAACACGTGTATAACTCCAGTTCAACTTCCCGTGAAATCCACGTGTTTTTGGTTTACGCCTGGATCGTAACAATTACGTGTTTATACGGGTTTTAATTGCGAGATTAAAACTAGATGTGCCGGCTGGGATGTTCTTTGATATTTTTGTATTTATATAGTTGATGTGGGGCTTCCAAGAGATGTGTTCATCAATTAGAACACCTAAAAACTTTGTATTTTGAGCTCTTTCAATGGATATATTTTCTATAGTAATTGTTGGTAGGTTAAGGGGAAGCTTTTTAATTTGTTGAGTAGAGTGGAATAGAACATATTTAGTTTTTTTAATCTATATTGAGTGATAGTTTGTTTGATTTAAACCATATATTAATTTTTTTTAATTCATTATTTGTTTTTTTAAACAAGTCTTCAATAGACTTTGATGAGTAAAATAAGTTTGTATCATCGGCAAAAATTATAGTTTTGAAAATATTAGAGGCATTTGGGAGATCGTTAATGTAAATAAGAAACAAAAGAGGAGCAAGAATGGACCCTTGGGGTACACCACATTTTGTTTTCAGTAAATTCGAGTTGCTTTTTTTATCTATAACAACACACTGGTGTCTGTCATTAAGGTAGTTTTTAAACCAAGTTAAAGCTTTATTTTTAACGCCATAATTTTCCATTTTTGTCAGTAAAATCTCATGGTTGACGGTGTCAAACGCCTTTGACAAATCAATAAAAATTCCTAACGTGAATTTTTTTTGTTTAAATGATTTACTAATTCTATTTGAGAGATCAAGGATTGCATGCTCTGTTGCGTGTCGCTTTTGGAAACCGTATTGACCTTTATTGATAATTTTATTAGTTTTTAAATATTCATTTAATTTATTGTAGATAATTCGCTCAAGAAGTTTTGCAAATACCGAAAGGATTGAAATAGGTCTATAATTGTTTAAAGAGTTGGCTTCTCCTGATTTATAGATTGGTATAATTTTTGAGATTTTAAGCAAATCAGGTACAATACCCGTTGTAACTGATGAGTTAAATATTTGGTAAATAGGATTACGTATTTCCTCAAAAACATCTATCACTACTTTGCAAGAGATATCATCGATTCCTGGGGACTTGATTTAAAGTGATTCCTTAGCAATCTCAAGTTCGTCTTGGTTTAGTTCGTTGAAATTTAAGGAGCAGTGTGTGCCTGTTAAGTAATTTTTAAATGAATTGTTTGGGCATTGAATTTTTGATGCAAGATCAACACCAATATTGGCAAAGTAGCTGTTGAATTCATTAGAAATATCACGCTTATTGTTTGATTCCTTTTGATCAATTATTACTCTAGAAGGCATTTTATTAGAATTAGTTATACCTTTACCAATTATTTCCTTCATAATGTCCCATGTCTTTTTTAAGTCTCCATTAAATTTTTGCATTTGGTTGGAGTAATATAATATTTTATGTTTTTTTTTAATTTTTTCAAATAAGTTTTTGTATTGCTTGTAGAGAAATAAGTTCGCTTCGCTTCTATTTTTTAAATATTTTATGTAAAGTTTTTGCTTTTGTTTTCAAATAAGTTTTTGTATTGCTTGTAGAGAAATAAGTTCGCTTCGCTTCTATTTTTTAAATATTTTATGTAAAGTTTTGCTTTTGTTTTAAGGATTTTCTTATTTCTTTTGTTATCCAAGGACAGTTTAAATATTTCGCTTTTATTACTTTTTCTTGAATTGGAAAACTCTTATTATATTCTAGCATAAATAAACTAATAAATTTAATGTACGCAGAGTTTGTGTTTCCTGAGTTACATTCTCGGTAGACTTTTTGCCAATTTGTTACCGATAGCAAGTCCTTAAATTTTTGAGTAGATGTTTCATCGATAATTCTTTTATAAAACAAGATTTTTGAATTATCAATTTTTCTGGAATCTAGTGATAAAGAAAAGTAGATTGGAAAATGATCTGAGATGTCTGTTTTTATTATTCCTGTTTTTAGAGAAACATCTTGTATTGAGTTTGTTAATATATTATCAATGGCAGTGATAGATTTGGAAGGACTAAAACCCTTAGTCACTTCTTTGCATGTTCTACCTATTTAGTAAATTGATATATGAAAAGTTTATCTTTCATGAAAATTTTTACATAACAATAAAAAAAAAAACGTAAAAAAAAGTTTTTAATAAAGCATTTTATTAATTTTCTAGCTAGTTTAATGGAGTACATTTACATTGTTAAAATGTAACTCTTTACATTTGCGGCTGTCCACAAATTGCATCATACTATAGGGGGTGGGGTTTTTATAACCGTATAGAAAAACCGGAAATGGGTTAGTTACTTTGTAACGATTTGTTTTATGGTAAGGGAGATATTCGATTTAGTGACGCAACATTTTTGTCTTTAAGTTCAATCGTAGAAAAACCCTTCCTTTGAACAAAAGCCAAACAAAAACCCTCAGTTTATGTATGTACACTCCTTGACTGTTGCTATTCAATTTAACTTAGTTACAATTGACTTTTTTAATTGACTTAAATTTTAGTAGATTAATGTAGACTCTGCTGCGTCTATGGTTTTTTCATTCAATTAGCCGATTTATCTTCGACGAAGAAATTATTAGTGATAGTTTAATTGTTAAATAAAAACAGTTAATACGCATTGACATAAAATTTTATAATGTTAATATAATCCACTGCGCCTATACCTATTTTAGTCCGTCGATTTATGTAACTATACTTATTCTGTGCAATTCAATTTAAAACAAAAGCCATAACCAATATAATTTTTAATAAACCACCATAATACTCAAAACACAGTTAACTAATTTGAAATAAAATGTCAGAGTAACGCTCTCTTAAAGTTTTTGAAACAGCACCCTAATAGGCCTTTTAATAGGCCTTGTAATAGGCGTTTTAATAGGTCTTGTGAATAAAAAAAGCTTTTACTCTAATAAAAAACTACTAATAAAAATAAAATTGCCTTTACTTAATAATTGGTCAGCTTTACGTAAAAATTTTACCAATTTTTTGTAAGTTTTTATTCACGTAAAGATAAACAACTTTTGAGTAAATTGCTTAACTTTACAAGAATAAAAATTTTGCCAAAACTGCTGAAGATTTTTTCACGTAAAACTGACCATCTGAGTTAAAGCAATTGCTATTTTTTATTCACCAGACCTAATATTTAAAAGTATTAACATCCTTGGCTCAACGCCATATTATGTTAAATTATTAGATAAAAATTATTTGATAAAATATTTTGAATTTCGCGCCTACAAATAGATATTTTTATTGTGGATTAGTTATTAGTATGCGCGTTAAAATAATGTCTTTCAAAATAAAAGAAAATAATAATAACAAAAAGAAAAAACTTAAAATAGTATTGCACATAAAACCGCAAAATGAATTTTAAAGAGGATAGGGGATTAAAAAGTTGTTGAGTAATTTAAAAAGGGGTAAAGTTCAGTAGGGAAGCAGCGTTAAAAAAAAAAAAATTGCCTGACGTATTTTAGCGAAAACTAAGTCTAAAATTGCCTGACTTATTTTAAGGAAAACGCTTTTTTATCTGAAGCATTTCCCTCTATTTACTTACATCGAAAAACCGTCCATTTTTAATTAAAAAATTAACCATATTCACTGTTAAATAATAAAGAGCATATTCTTACCAAAAATTTCTTTATAGTTTGTTATGATTCCATTGTGAACCAGAACAAATTCTAAACAAAAATTTCTTTATAGTTTGTTATGATTCCATTGTGAACCAGAACAAATTCTAAACAAAAATTTCTTTATAGTT